TCAAATCTTTTTTCAAGGTTCTTAGTTTCCTTGCATTGGGTTACAACATGTTCTTTTAGTTCACAGAAGTTTCTTACTACCCACCTTCTAAAGTTTGATTCTGTCATTTCATCACAGTCATTCTCCATCCAACCTTGTTGCCTTGCTGGTCAGGATTGTGATCCCTTGTAGGAGGAGAGGTGTTCTCGTTTTGGGTGTTTTCATCATTTTTGTGCTGGTTTCTTCCCATCTTTATGGATTTATCTACCTGTCCTCTTTGTAGTTGCTGACTTTCAGATTGGGTCTTTGAGTGGACGTTCTGTTTGTTGATAATGAAGTTATTTCTGTTTCTTAGTTTTCCTTCTAACAGTCTGGCCCCTCTGCTGTAGGACTGCTGAGGTCCATTCTAGGCCCTGCTTGCCTGGGGATCACCTGCAGCAGCTGCAGAACAGTAAGGGTTGCTACCAGTTTCTTCTTCTGCTATCTTTGTCCCAGAGGGATACCCACCAAATGTCAGTCTGATCTCTCCTTTATGAGGTAACTCTTTGGATATACAGGTGTCAGGGAGGTGCTTGAGGAGACAGTCTGTCCTTTATAGGAGCTCAAGTGCTGAGCTGTGAGCTCCGTTATTCATTCAGAGCTGCTGGGCAGGTATGTTTATGTCTGCTGCAACAGAACTCATAAACTGCTTTTTGTTCCCAGGTGTTTCTATCCCAGGTAGTTAGGGCTTTATTTATGAGTTTCCGTTGTGCTGTGCCTTTTTTTTTTTCAGGGCTGCCCTGCCCAGAAAGGAGGCAGCCTAGTCACTGTCTGCCTGCAGAGGCTTTGCTGAGCTGCTGTGGGCTCTCCCCAGCTGCCATGTAAACTTCCCTGCAGTCTTGTTTATATGGGTGTAGTTAGAACTGCCTTGGCAATGGTGGCCTGCCTCTGTATTGGTGGACTCTCTCTGTAATGGCAGGTTGCCTTGGCAATGGCAGGCTGCCTCAGCAATGGCAGACTACCTCCGTAGTGGTGGAGTGCCTCGGTAATGGTGGACGCCCCTCTCCCACAGAGCTGGACCATCCCGGGTTCAGCTGCTCTTGCTGTGAAACTCTCAATCCAGAGAGTTTCTGATTGCTGTTCTTTTGTGGGGGTGGGACCAGCCGAGCCTGATCACCTGGCTCCCTGCCTCAGAGCCTTTTTTTTTCTTTTTTAGTCGAACAGTCGACTCTATCCCAGGTGTTCCAGTCACCTGTTGAAAGGGCGTGGGGATCTGTGTGATTTCCCATGCAGCAACTGACTGCGCCGGCTTAAAGAGCAGCACTGAGATTCGTGGCGCTTTTTTTGCCCAGGAATCTCCTGGCCTGGCTCCCTGTTAAGTCCCCTCTTTAATCAGATGAATGGGCGACTTCCCGGGGCTCCAATTGCCAGCCAAAAGGAGACCCGGACCAGTGTATTTTGTGTGGAGAACCACCGGCTGGGGCGCCGACAAAGCAGCCGCATGGGGCAAAGCAGCCGCGCCAACCAAAAGAAACTCGCCGGCCAAAACAGCCACGCTGGTGACCCATGGGGCTCCTCCACCTGGGAATCTCCTGGTCCGTGGGCAATCAAAATGTGGCGTCTACTCACCCTCTGTGCTTTCGCTGGGAGCTGCAACTCCGAGCTGTTCCTAAACGGCCATCTTGGATCTTCCCATATATGTTCTTTAGTTTGAGGGTTACATTGATGATGATGATACTGTTTGCTATATGCCAGGCACCCACTGTGACATATACTATTTCAATCCTCACAAAAATCTTATAAGACAGAAATTCTTATTATCCTTAATGAAAATATGAGGAAACTTAGTAACACAGAGGTTAGAAGCTTGCCTAATATCATAGAGGAGGCGGAAAAAGGCACAGCAGGAATGGAAACCTGCAAGGTTTTGCTACAGTGCATACTCCATCCACAGCCTTACGAAGCATCTCCTATATGTTACAGATAGTACTTATCTTTTTTCTTTTCTAATTTTGTGGATATATAGCAGGTATATATATATTTATGGGGCACATAGGATGTTTTGATATAGACATGCAATGTGTAATAATCACATGATCATGGAAAACAGGATTTCCATCTTCTCAAGCATTTATCCTTTATGTTACAAACAATCCAGTTATACTCTTATTTTCAAATGTACAACTAGATTCTTATTGACTATAGTCAACCTGACATGTTACTAAATACTAGGCCTTATTCATTCAAAGTATTATTTTATACCCCTTCACCATCGTCCACCTCTCCCTTGATCCCCGGCTACCCTACCGAGCCTCTGGTAACCATCCCTCTACTCTGTATCTGCATGGGTTCAGTTGTTTTACTTTTAGATCCCACAAATAAGTGAGAACATGAGATGTTTGTTTTTCTGTGCTTGGCTTATTTTACACATAATGATCTCCAGTTCCATTCATGTTGTTGCAAATGACTGAATCTCATTCTTTTTTATGGCTGAAAAGTACTTCATTGTGTGTAAGTACCACATTGTTTTCTTTATCCATTCAATTTTTTTTTTTTTTTTTTTTTTTTTTTTTT